GGTAAGACCTTATATATCTATGTCTCTAACTCCTGAGATTCTGTGCCTGAGTGGCCTATAATTGTCTGTTGAGCCAGGATTGCTACCTCTTAGGTGTTTTTTTTTTTTGTGTGTGTGTGTGTGTGTGGTGCTGGCTATTGAACCCAGGGCTTCATGAACACAAGGCAAGCACTATACCACTGGGCTACAGCCCCAGCCTGCTACTTCTGCAGCTATAGGATACCCCCTGACTGAGGTGAGAGTCGGCCTTCATCTCAGCTGGAGTAGTAGCAGGCAAGATTAGAAGCTTAGGGTCTATACATCACTCATTACCAGAGTCTACAACATAACAGCAGAAAGAGCACAATGAATTAGAAATCCTTTTAAACAGGCTGGGGATATAGCTCAGTTGATAGAATCTTGCCTCGCATGCACAAGGCCCTGGGTTCAATCCCTAGCACCACAAAAAGAAAGAAAAAGAAATCATTTTAAACTCTGCCACCAATTTGAATCTTAGTTTTTCAAAGCCGCAGTTAACATTGGGTCAGTTGTGGTGTGACTTTGTACTTGACTCCTTTACACAGATTCCCTACCAGGTTAACTTAAAATATCCCTACCAGCTGCAAGGCAGAGCATGGGCAGAACAGGCAGATGTGTTGATTAGACACACCAGATGTGTCCGCCAAGTTTTTCCTCATCTTGAGCCATATTCTCTCTCCTGGTCTTAGAGCTAACTTCAGTGGCCACATAGAGTAAATAAAATTGCTCTTCATTACACACCCTCTTGTAGTAAAAGACATTCTTACCCGCCAAGTCTCACCCCTCTTCCATGTTATCTATTCTCTGGACTAAAGTCTTCTTTATTGTTTGATTGGATTATTCTGAAGCAAGATTACAAGTCCCTTCATTCTCCCTTAACTTATTTTGAATGCAGGGCTTTTTGTGCCACAGATAGTTTTCCAGAGGCATCTGATACATACAAAATTCTCTTCTGGGTTCAGTTGTTTGGGTCCACAGGATGTGGACTCCTGACAGGGCCAGTTATCTTGGGAGAAGATCACAGCCAGCTAGAAGCATGTGGGTAAGTAGAGTAGAAAACATGGCTAGTTAAGTGTCCCCTGGGGCTAATTCTCTCCTGTTTCTTCTCTTCCTCCTCCCTACCTTCCCTAGGGCTATGACATCAGTTTTCTGATCACCAACTTCCACACAGAACAGATGTACAAACACAAGTTGGTGGACTTTGTGATCCACTTCATGGAGGAGATAGACAAGGAGATCAGTGAGATGAAGCTGTCAGTCAATGCCCGTGCACGTATAGTGGCTGAGGAGTTTCTCAAAAATGTAAGTAGGGGGCCTTCCTGCTTTCCTGCCTGAGGTGGAAGGAGCCATGGGTTGTGTGGAGTTAGCACCTGGTGGGAAAGAGGTGCCAAATTTCCACATCTTAAAATGTCCACAAAATTCTTAATCTATTCAGCCCCCAAGTGAGGCTAGGGAAGTGCATATGCCAAGTTTCCAGAAACATAACAGTTAATCGTCATGTAATTCCATTTCTCAAACAGAATTAAATATCTTTCTTTAGCATCTGTTTCTGAGGCTTCAGGTCCTGATTTCCTCAGCCTGTTTCCCATCACTTTGATGGCTTAAGGCCTCTGGATCCCTCTGAAATTGTTTGTGCCTTTCTAACAGAAAGGACTGCAGTTCTGAAGAGGAGGTAGTGTTTACATTGAGAAACTGATGACATAGTTGTTCTTGTTTAGATATTCAGGACATGCCTTCTTAGGCATTTTCCCCCTTTCTTCCAAACAATCTTTGGTTTGTTGATATGTTCCACTCAAAGTTGACTGTGATCCCCAGATGGTAGGTTTAGTGTTTACTCCTCCCTGTTCATACAGATCACCCAGAAGGAGCTCAGATTTCTAAAAATGGAAATTTAACACACTTCCCCTGGGATTTAATCATACTGAGGGTGGCCCAGTGCACAAAGTCATTGTACCATGTGTGCAAGGGAGTACTGTCGTCCAGCTGCCTACCAGTCAGACCTCCTGGGTGTCAGTCTATTTCCTTTGCCTACTCAGCTATGTCACTGAGCCTCTCAACTAAGCCTGAGTTTCCTCAGCTGTGAAATGAGGATGCTATTAATATTTACCTTTCAGAGTGGTTGAACTTTAAATGAGATCACGTATGTCAAATGTAACGCCTGATACCTAGTAAGCTTTCTGTGTATGGTGGTACGAAAGTTTATGCCCAGGGCACTAGGAGGCCTCTAGATTCAACTAGCATGTTCACAATTCCTACTTAATATTCAAAACAGGAGTCTAATACTCCCATGCGTTTGACATGTGAAAAATGTGGTGTGTTTTTTCTCCTACTTAAAAAACACAAAATTCTGCTAGCCACAGTGGCCCATGCCTGTAATCCCAGTGGGTTGAGAGGATGAGACAGGAGGATTGCGAGTTCAAAGCCAGCCTCAGCAATGGCAAGGCGTTAAGCAACTCAGTGAGACCCTGACTCTAAATAAAATATAAAGTAGAGATAGGGTTGTGTCTCAGTGGCCAAGTATCCCTGGGTTCAATTTCTGGTACTTAAAAAAAAAAAAAAAAAAAGGCCAGAAAACCCAATCTTTTGAGTTAAGTGTTACTGTGTGATTTTGCGGCATGGGGTACTGGGGATTGAACTTAGTGGTGCTTTCCCATTGAGTCATATCCCTAGCCCTTTTTATTATTTTGAGACAAGTGTTCACTAAGTTCCTGAGGGCCTCACTAAATTGCTGAGGCTGACCTTGAACTTGTGATCCTCCTGCCTCAACCTCCCAAGTTGTTAGGATTACAGTAATGTGTGCCACTGCGCCCAGCAGGTGTTACCATAATTATAGATGAATAAACTGAGGTCTGGAAGTTATTTAATCACCTGCTAAACGTTCCAGAGCCAGGAAGTGGAGGAACTAGATGTGGAATTGGGTTTTCTGATGTAAAGATCTAAAACAGTACCACAGTACCTTGTGGGGTTACAAATTCAGGTACATACACAGGTCAGGCAGCAGCACATGTGAGCGAGGTGGGCTGAGTGGGGACCTGGTGAGCTTGGGCCTCATTTGAGGAACATTGCCACCATGTAGCTCCAGCCTGTTGTACTTTTCGAAAGAATTCCAAATCTAGATTTATATATGACATCTTCCATGTTATCAAGGTTGGCAGCTAATTCATAGTCTTTTAAGCACCACATGGGCTAATCTTTGGGCTATGCTCGGTCATCAGCCATTGATTCACAGCCTCTGGCTTATTAAGTGTTGTTCTTGGCACCATGGGGGATATTTGAGGGCAGAAAATTTTCTAAGGCCTGTGCTGGTTGGAGGATCACCCAAAGCTGTATCCCTCTCACCTTGGCCTGCAGAGTTCCCATGTCTTTTTTTTTTTTTTTTTTTTTTTGTCTTTGGTATTAGGCATTGAACCCAGGAGTTTTTGACCACTTGAGCTACATCCCCGCCCCTTTTTATTTTCTGTTTTGAGACAGAGTCTTGTTAAGTTGCTTAGGGCCTCTGCTAAGTTGCTGAGGCTGGCCCTGAACTTGTGATTCTTCTTCCTCAGACTCCTGAGTTGCTATGATTACTGGAGTGCACCCTGCACCCAGCACCCAGCTCTGAGTCCCCATGTCTAAAGAAGGCAACTTCTGTTTATATGTAAGACACTGACAGAGCTTTATGGCAGCATCCATAGCAACAGTCTAGGGGAACTGTGGAGAAGCCCTCAATACTTATCTAGTGCTAGATTTAGGGTCAGTGCCCCCACAGGTCTCTGCTGAAGATTGGCTGAGTTAAGAGTGTGCTCAAAGGATGTTCTGGGACCCAGCCCCACCCTTCAGAACTCTGTGTACAGTGGCAGCTCTCAGATCAACCCACCATCCTGGAGCAGGCCCACCCAGATACAATAATAACCACCATTCACTGCCTCTTGGTTCTCTTGACAGTTTTAAACCATCTGGCTGGATCTCGCGGCCTACCCCCTCAGCCTCTCCCTGTGTCTCTGCGAAAGCATCCTGGAGTCACTCCCCAGAGCGGCAACGGCAACAGCGGCAGCAGAAGCGGGGAGCTGGGTCGGGTGGGCACTAGATGCGGGAGGGGGGTGGTGTGCTTGCTAGCTGGGCAAGAAAGCAGCAGTGGACCTGCCCCAAGGCCACACGTGCCTGGTCAGGCTGGCTTCTGATGTTCAGTCCCCTGGGCCGGGACAGATTTTTTTTAACGTCTTGAAATTTAAACTTTGTGCTTGTAGGAGACTGTAACCTTTTTGTCTTTTTTTTTTTTTTTTTTTTTTTTAAACAAACAACCTCCACCTCCAGTGGCTGTGACTGGTCCCAGTGATTGTATCTTATTGGTCGCTGTGGGTCTGGGCGGGCCTGGAGCCAGAAGGCGACTACTTTTTCTCCCCTGTGCTACCCCAGGTGGGGAGAGAGGGAGGTTTTAGACTCCAGTTTCTCTCCATTGCTCTCTTAATCCCAAGCCTCCTTGGGCCCAGTAGAGGTGGTGGGAACCCTCTATGAGCTTCCTGAGCTCTGCCTGAAGATGGCCTCCCAGCATTCAATGGGGACAAGGGCTGAATCCATGAGTACCAGCCATACCTAGGAGCTGGAGCCCAAAAGCCAGGCAACTTCTGGCTGCATGGGGCCGCTTGGTACCCTTCCAGCTGAGAGGGGCCACTGTCATGCTTTATCTCAGTGCAGTGCCTGTGCTAGAGGTGTGGAGAGGTAAGTCCTCCTCCAGAGCTCCCGCTGGGCCCTCTCCGCCTGCTCTGGCTCCTCTGCTCCCACACGCTCGGTTTCTTTTCTGATTCTAGTGGATCCTCCCACCCCTGATTAAAGTCTCTTCTTGCCCTTTTGGGGCTGCATGAGGTCTGAACTCTGTGTGTATATGTGAAGGGAAGGGAGGTGGTGCTATTTTTATTTCCTGAGACCAAGCAGCTGGTGCTTGGGCCTGGAGCTCCCCATCAGTCTTATAGATTGATCCCACCATTATCCCTGCCAAAGACTCCAACCCAGTAACCATTGCAGTCCAAGTACCATGTGTTTCTGAAAATGTTCTCTCTGCCTATTCAGTGTTGGTGCTTTTCACATGATCTCATGTGGGCTAAAAGATAACCTCAGAGAAACATCCGTCCTATTTTTGGATAAGAAAACTGAGGTTCAGTGAGATGAAATAGCTTGCTGCAAGTCTCCAGACCATGAGCAAGAAGTTTAGACTTCTGCCTGGGCTAAAGCAGTAGTTATTTCTTTTGGTACCAGGGGTTGGACCCAGGGGTGCTTAAGTACTGAGCCATATCCTTACCCCTTTTCATGATTTATTTTGAGACAGGGTTTTTTAAAGTTGCTCAGGGCCTTGCTCAGTTGCTGAGGTTGGCCTCATATTTGTGATCCATCTGCCTCAGCCTCCTGAGTCTCTGGTATTACAGGCATGCACCAATGTGCCTGGCTTCACCTTTATCTATTTAAATTACTACAGTTAAATGAAGTTTATAATCTGGTTCCTCAGTTTCTCTGATGTCATGTTAAGTATTCAGTAGCTACAGTGACTAGTAACTACCATATCAGCACATATATTTCCATTGTCAAAAAAAATTATATTGGATAATGCTAGACCTTTTTTAGTGATAACTTGAAGTAAACAAACAAAACTGATTTATGTTTGAGTTCTGACTCTTGTTGCTGGATTTGGACAAGCTGTGTATATTCTATGCCTCGGTTTCTTTTTTAAACTGGGGATTGAACTCAGGGGTATTTTTACCACTGAGCTACATTTCCAACTCTTCCTTTTTTTCGGACAGGATCTTACTAAATTGCCCAGGTTGGTCTAGACCTTCCAATCCTCCTGCTTCAGCCTCCCAGGTAGCTGAAATTACAGGCATGTGCCACCATGCCTGGGTCAGTTTCTTGATCTCTGACATGGAGACTATGAAAGTGAACTGGCACAATCTCTGCCACGCAGGCACTGAATGAACCACTAGTTGTTTGTTCAGTATCTGAGTTGTCTGATAAAACTCCAACATGCTAGGCTTGGGGATATCCCTGCTTTGAGAAGACTTGGGGGTCCAGTAAAAGAGCTAGCCATGTAAATAAATATATTGAAATGTTTCATATGTATTGTTGGAAGTCTGGGGACTGGGAGGGGGCCATATGTATAGGAGGGTATAAAGCTTCTAGAATGGTTGGCCTTTGAGCTGAACTTCACAAAAAGATTTTCTTAGAGATGGCCAAAGGGATCTCTTGAAGGGAAGAATAAAGAAATAATAAAGGAAGGAGGGGCTAGTGGTGGGAACAACTTGAATAGGTATAATCCCCTTTATGACATTACCTCTGTGACCTCCTGCCTTGCTAAATTAGCTAGGCTCTCCTCAGAGGCACATGGCTATGTTGTATCATTGCAATGAATGTGAAAGGTACTCGCAGCAAAGTGCGTGACCACGAGTGTGTGGCAGTTTCTTACTCCCCTCTCACAGGATGGCATTTACCAGGTGAGCCAGCAAGAACCCTAATTTGTGGCAAATTTCTCTCCCAGGATCCAAAGTTCCTTAAAACCAGATTTGCAGGCTAATGAGAACAGACTGTGTGGTTTTAGTCAGCTGGTTCTCTCTTAGGTCTCTCTTACCCCAGCTAAGGGGGTTTGGGAAATGTAATCTTTGGTGTCAGTTGGACAGGTAGTTAAGGGACCTACCTTCACTGTAAGAACGGAACTGCCCAGTGACTGGGTTCCAGCCAGGACTCTCCTGGATTGCACTTGCATGGGCAACTGCTCAGGTTAGCCTGTCAACCTGCTGATTTGGTACTTTGTGATCAACAGGTCAAACCCCATTGAGTGATAATCACAGGAAGATATATATAAGTGTGTGTCAGACCTGGGTTCCAGTGTTGCCTGTGATTTGTGGCAGTTATTTAACATCTTGGAGCCATATTGCCCCTATGACTTTTGAGGATAATACTTTACCACTTTCTCTAAATGGTCATTTACAATCTTGACCTTTTAAATTTATTTTGCATTTGATTTGAATGATGATCAGTTTTTCTGTTTCTGAGTTACCAGGAGAGGAGGTATGTGTTCTGCACCCATGATTGCTCCCCGCAAATACAGCCTCGACTTTCATTTTCATATCTGTTCCCCACCACCACCAAACTTATTAGCCGCATCTATCTGCTAGGCTTTCAGATCTGAACTGGGCTCACTAGGCTCCAGCCACACTGGCTGCCTTGTATTTCCCCAGAAAGGGTCTTGCCTTTCGAGGTTGCCAAAACTGTTTCCCCTGCCTAGAATGCTAAAATGTTACCTCTTCGGAGAGGACATCTTTGCCCTAATGTGTACTTCTTTCCTGGTTTCAGCTCATTGCTTATTCACTGCCCTCATACCTGTAGCTATTTTGTTACTTGCTTTTATCCCACACTGGGCTATAAGCCTCTTGGGGTCGGGGTTCACTTGTCAGTCCCCAGCCCAGAGCTTAGCACGTGGCCCTCTATAAATATGGTTGGGGCCGTTCCACGCAGGAACTGCTGGATAAGGAACCAAGATTCCAGCCCAACGTTCTGTTCTACCCACAGTGCCTTGCCCATCAAAGGGGTGGGGATAAATGAGGCCCAGAGCCTGGCTCACAGTGGAAAACCCCAGCTCCTCTGACCCAGGGCGGCTCCGGAACCCTCGGGTCTGATTGTGCCCGGGGGAATGGTTTCTATAGTGACAGCAAACAGAGGGCGGGGCCTGGGTGCTTCTCGGACAGGCAGCGCGGGGAGGGAGGCGGGCTCCAGCGCTGGAAGGGCGCGCGCAGCGAGGGGCGCATGCAGGGCCCTGGCGGGGCACTTCTGAGCACCAGGGAACTGGGCCCCGTGAGCCAGGGTTCGGCCACCTTGTTCAGCCAGGATCAAGGCCCGGCGTGCAGTTGGCGGCGGAAGCCGCAACCACCAGATCCACACAACAGTTACCCCGCCTCTTGGACCTGTGTTCCCTACCCACAATACCGGCTGCCTGGGAGGCTGCCATGGCCGGGGCCCGCCTCCGCCCAGCCCGAGGCGAGTGGCGCTGGCCGTCAGCGCCTGGCCAGCAGTGCTGGCTTCATGCCCTGCCTAGGCCGCGCCTCCGTGACTCCTGCCTGCGGCACTCGCGCCCAAGGCGCTGCGGATCCCCATCTATTCAGCCCCCGGCCTGCCCAGGTCCTGGATGATCCCCCCACGCAAGACGGTGAGGCCCAGAGCGTTGCCTGCCCTGGCCGGTGGCAGCTGCAAGAAGAAGCATGGGGACGGAACGAAATGGTGTCGGAAGAAGAGTGGCAGTGGGTGGGCGTCCTGATGAAGGGTGGAGGGAGGGAAGAGGGTGCCAAAAAGACCCCGGCTAAGCCCCAACCTATCCCCGCCCCTATAACGCCTCTTTCTGCAGGATCCCTTGTCCTCTGGCGAGGATTCTCCAAGACACCTCACCACATGGGCCGGCTCGGAAACGCCAAAATCCACGTGGAGAGAGCTGTCAAGGTCGGAATGGGTTGGTGGGGAGGAGTTTAGAAAGGACTCTGGAGTAGTTTGTCCTGCCTCCTTGTGGTATTTTTGTCATGTCCTTCAAAAACAACCAAAAAAACTCAATTCTACACTCATCTTCCAATACCTCCCCATTTTCACTTATCATTCAGGGCCAAACTTCTTGACAGAATTGTCTGGGCATTGTTCCACTTCTTTACCTGGAATTCACTCCTCAGTTCCCTTCCCTCTGATTTCCTGCCTTTCCCATCCCATTCCTTTTAAAAAACACTCTCATTAAGGCCCTTGGTGACCTCCAAGGAGCCAAATCCAGCAGCGCCTCTTCAGTCCTGCCATCTTGATTGAGTTGCCTGTGGGTGTGCACTGATGCCCCACACACCCATCCTCCTTAGCTATCTGACTGCACACTCCTACTTTTCTTTTCTCTCTTTCTGGCTGCTGCTTTTCAGTTGCTTTGGGCAGTTTCTTAGATATTAGTGGTTCCATAGATCCCTACCCATGCATGCTGCATGCATTGCTTCTCTCTGGTTGTGAGTCCAATGTGCTGCACCCACTGCATACCCTCTCCAGCCCCCTAGTTGACATCTCTACCCAGAGTTTATCAACATTTCAATCTCATGCTCTGATAATCCTACCCAAACTTGTCATTCCTTCTAGTCTGGACTTTCTCATCTCAGTTGTTCAACCCCAAATCCAATATTTCTGTTTTTTCACTACCACATGGGATTACATCAGCAAAATCATTCATCTCTGATTCCAAAATGAATCCCAACCCCACACTTTTGCCCCATTTTCACTGTAAGCACAACAGCCTTCCAAACGGTCTGCTTCCATACTTGTTCCCATCTTTTTTTCCATACAGTAGCAAGCCAAACTTAACAAAGCTTCCAACTAAGCACACCCTCACCTAACCTGTATTGCTTCGTGCTACTCATATAAAAACCCATATCCAAGGCTCAAGCCTGCAGGGCTGTCCATGGTCTGTCCATACTACCTAACTTCTCATGGGCTCTCCCTTTCATTTTCCAAACTGCACTCACCCTTTCAGTTCCTTTTGGTCTCCATTCTGCCTTTGGGCCCTTGCACATGCTTTTCCCTCTGCCTATACTGCCATTTGCTCAGCTCTGTATATTCATGACTCTTTTTTGATCTTCCCTAACCATGTATTCCTAAGTAGTTTCTCTGGGTCTCATTAAGGATGTAGATTTTAGACTGCCTGGATTTAAATCCATACTCTTGGGGTTGGGAGTGTAACTCAGTGATTGAACTGTGCTTAGCATGGGTGAGGCTTTGGGTTCAATTCCCAGCACAAAAAGAAATCTCTTTCACTTAACCATGGTATGTCCAAGCTACTTAACCTCTCCACATCTTTATTTCATAACCAGTGAGTATCTAATAAAAATGTATGTCATTGTAAGTAATACATGAGGGCTGGGGATGTGGCTCAAGCGGTAGCGCGCTCGCCTTGCATGCATGCGACCCGGGTTCGATCCTCAGCACCACATACAAACAAAGATGTTGTGCCCACCTAAAAACTAAAAAATAAATGTTAAAAAAAAAAAAATTCTCTCTCTCTCTCTGTCTCTCACTCTCTCTTTAAAAAAAAAAAGTAAGTAATACATGAAGCATTTACCACATAGTAGATACTCAGTAAATATCAGCTATTATTGCCAACATTGTTACTATGCATATTTGTTTATTTTGGTACTAGGGGATTGAACCCAGGGGCACGTTACCATTAAGCTATGTCTCTATAGAGCCCTTTTTGTTTTTTTATTTTTAGACAGTTCTTGTTTAGGGCCTTGCTAAATTGCAGGGACTGGCCTTGAACTTGCAATCCTTCTGCTCTAAATTCCCAGGTCATTGGAATTAACAATCATGCACCACCACCCCCGGACACTATGCATATTTATTTCCCTCCATGTTTTTTAGCTATTTTTCCCAGTAGAATATAAAAATTCCCTACAGAGGCCAGCTTGGAGGCAGAGACTGTAACTGGGTCACCACTATATCCCCTGTGTTTGGCACCTTGGCAATGCTTATTGAACAAGTCTCTATCTCTCACCTTATAGCAGAAGAAGATCTTTATGATCCAAGGCTGCTACCCAGTGATCCGGTATCTCTTACGCCGGAGAGGCTGGGTAGAGAAGAAGATGATCCATCCCCCGGGCACCACCCTAATGCCATCCCAGAAGGATCTGGACAGCTCAATGCTAGGTGATAGTGACACCACTGAGGAAGGTGAACAGTTCCCTCTCTTTCCACAAGACCCCTCCCAGTCTTCTTCCTTATGTTCTCACCATCCCAGGGTTGAGGATTTGTACCTATGGGGCAGGGACATGGCTCTCATCAGGTCTGGGCTCTGCATACATTGAAGATGAAGAGCATTATCAACAAACACAGCTGTTTGACTTAAATGGCCTTCTGGAATTTGATGACCTAGATGGGACACATGCTTTGATGGTGAGCGTCCTGGGGGCCAGCTGAAGCACAGGATTGGCTGGAGGGTGGCTATTCAGAAGGAGAGGTCTGGCGCCCAATGGGGTGACCTCAGACAAATCCTTTTCTTCTCTGGGTCTCAGTTTCCCCATCTGTATAAAGATGATTGTTTCTCTAAAGGCTGGATAGGCCCCCAGAGCAGTGAAGGACTCAGTGGGGCTCTGACAAGGCTGTTACATCCTCTGTGCATGCTAGTTATCCCTTCCAGGTAAAAATCTCTTTGTTCATCTGCTTCCTTTGCCCTTAGCAATTGAAGGCTCGTAGGAAGGGCTTACACAACTCTGAGAGAGGCTGGTGAGATGGTGTGGAGGACATGTGTGTGGAGGTTAAAGACACTTGGATTCATTAGATTGGCACCAACTCTTACTAAGTTGAACTATATGAATAGCCATTTCTGCACGTCAAGATAAGTTGAAAATCGGTAGTTTCATGTGGTTCAGCTTTGTGAACCCTGGGGCAAGTTGTTTACCCTCCGTGTACCTCAATTCCCTCACCTGTGAAATGGTAGCTCCTACCTCATAGGGTTGGATGAGGAGTCAATGGATTAACATAGAAAGTATTTCAAACAGAGCATAGCATATGGTGTTATTAGTTAATAATAACCTACCTCCCAGATTTTTAGAAAGGATGGAGAGGTGGGGACCACAAAAGAACCTCTGTTACATGCTGTGTGCACATCAGTTTGGAGGCTGTGTCAGACTTCTGGCAAGTAACTGATGGCCATTGGTCAGAGAAAGGTCCAGCATTCTATTGTGCAGTTTAACACTCAGACGAAGCCTGCTCTCTTTTGGCCAAGCTTGTGCCCTGGAGAAGAAATGCCCTTCATGCCTTACACAGAAACGTTGTGAGGACCACAGGATAGTTTGGAAGTATCCTGTCCTTCGTGCTCAGGAGGGTTGGGGAGAAGCTGCCCACACTGGCCTCCCTATCTCTATCTCCTCCCCAGTCCCGCATGGTTCGGAATGAGACACCTTACCTTATCTGGACCACCCGGCGAGATGTGATGGACTGTCGCTTCCTCTCTAAGGATCAGATGATAAACCACTATGCTCGAGCTGGCTCCTTTACTACAAAGGTGGGCTCCTCAGGGCAGTAGGAAGGACAGCTTCCAACCCCCACCCTTAGACTAGTAGTCCCAACCCCGTCTCTCCCCTTGTCAGTAAAAGAAAGTTCTCAGGAAAGCAGGAGATAAATAATTCAGTGAGACCTGAAGTCAGGAAGACTTGGACTCTAATTCAACCCTTGTGGGATATCTGGTAGTGTAGACATCTTGACTAAACTGGACTCCAGCTGGATGTGATGGTGCACACCTATAATCCCAATGGCTTGGGAGGCTGAAGCAGGAGGATCAAAAGTTCAAAGCCAACCTCAGCAACTTAGCAAGACTGTCTCAAAACAAAAAAGGCTGGGGATGTGGCTTAGTGGTTAAGTGCCCCTGGGTTCAATCCTTGGTACCAAAAACAAACAAATAACTGGGCTCCAGGATTCAAATAGGATCTGAAGCCCACACAAACACCAAATCCAAACTGTGAGCAAGGGTACATCTGGCTGATGGCTTCATTCTGTCTTATCTCTGATAGCAAGTGGCTTTACATCTCTGAGCCTCAGTGTCCTCATATTTAAATGACAGAAGCAGTAAGGTCTGTTTTCTAGGGTGAAGGATGAAGAAAGAACTTTATAAAATGGTCTGTCATTTTATCATTGGCAGAGACTTGGAGAGGAATTCCTAGACGAGGCAGGTCTTTAAGGATATGAATGAAGGGTGAATGGGATTTGTGACAAAGGGGACCACGAGGCAGACATGGATATAGATGTGAGTAAGTTAAGCCTAGTGAGTGGAATAGAGGCTCTGAGAGCATTTGGGCAAGGTCTTCCTGACTGGATGTGTGCTGCCTGTGGGGGAGTCTCTTAGAGCTCCCTGGGCAAGTCCTACCCTGCCCCCTCAGCAGCTAACTCCATAGGTGGGTCTGTGTCTCAATCTCCGGAACTTGCCCTGGTTTGATGAAGCTGATGCTGACTCCTTCTTCCCACGATGCTACCGCCTGGGTGCTGAAGATGACAAAAAAGCCTTCATAGGTAAGGAGAACCCCCAGCCCCATGCCTGGACCACCCAGGCTGAAGGACCAAGACTAAATCTCTGGCTCACACCAGGGAATAGCAGGCCTCTCCTTATGCCCTCATCTACCCCAGCAAGTTCCTTCCCTATCCCCAGTCCTACTATACCTCACTTAATGATACTCCTAGCTTGGCCAGCCCTGACCTCCAGAAAACTTAGGTAGCTTGCTTGTATTCTAGAGCAGGTTCTAAAAGTTAGTGGTTGGTTGAGTTTGGAATCCAGAATGGATTTCAGGCTTATGTCAAGTTCTGTTGGCTGGATTGGGTTCCATAAAAGACTATAGGTTATGGGTTTCTAAGGCAGAATAGCTTCCAACTCCACAATATGTTCTAAATAGAATTTGGATCCAGGTTAGATGCTAGGCCTTAAGTTATGTTCCAAATCTGAACTAGGTTTTGGGTCAAGGTTTGGGTTCTTAGGCTAGAATAAGTATCAAAAGTATATAAGGGGGACTGGGATTATGGCTCAGTGGTAGAGCACTTACCTAGCACACGTGAGGCACTGGGTTTGATCCTCAGCACCACATACAAAAATAAATAAAATAAAGTTATTATGTTCATTTACAACTAAAATATTTTTTAAAACTGTATGAGGAGCCGGGCGCAGTGGCACATGCCTGTAATCCCAGTGGTTTGGGAGGCTGAGGCAGGAGGATCACGAGTTTAAAGCCAGCCTCAGCAGCTTAGGGAGACCCTAAGCAACTTAGCAAGACCCTGTCTGAAAATAAAAACATTAATAGGGATGAGGATGTGGCTCAGTGGTTACTCACCCCTGGGTTTAATCCCTGGTACAAAAGGGGGAAAAAAAAGTAGATGAGGAACTGAAGAAAGAACTAAGACAACAGACAATCTGGTCCACACCAGATTCTGAAGACAGAGTATAAGCCAAGTCCAGTCACATTGTCACATTCTGGGTCTAACTGAAACAGGATCCAGGTTCTCATTCAGGTTCTAGAGTCAGAAAAGGTAGAGTCAGGTTACACATCCAAAATGGGGCAAGTCACGATCAGGTTCCAGAACCAGAACAGGCCTTGAGCCTAGGGGCTGAGCAGGGTATCCCCTGCCCCGGGAGCAGAGGACTTCTGGCTGACAGCTGCCCGCAACGTTCTCAAGCTGGTGGTGAAGTCGGAATGGAAGTCATACTCTGTCGAAACAGAAAAGGAAGAAGCTGCAAGTAAGTACTGTGGTTACCTTCACTCCCTTACCCTCCGTGCTCCCATTATCCATATCCATATGACCATCTAACACCTTTCCCACCCTTCTTTTCATCCATGTGTTCACCCATCCTTCAGTCTACCCATTAACCCATCCATCCATCCATCCATCCATCCATGTATCCATCCTCCCACCTACCAACCCACTGTTGATCTCCTCATTCACCTACTTGCCATCAGCACACTCCCTATCCATTTATCCACTCCCCACTTTCCTTCCCATCCTTCTACAAAACCATTTATCCATGTATTATTCCATCTTCCTAACTACTGTTTATCTACCCTCTAGTCTGCTCACTCATCCATTCTTCTATTTCCCAACTTCCCACATACCTGTCTTCTGGTTTGTTTGGTGATCAGCCTATGCATGGGCCTGGCATGTGAATGAGCACCCTACAGAGAGCAGGCTAAGAAGACATGGTCCATCCTTGTCTGGGGGAGATAGGTCTAGGAGAAGGAAGAAGTGAACCCAGCAGTTTACAGGAGTCCTGAGCACCCTATGTGACCAAAAATAAGGAACATCTGGGGCTGGGATTGTGGCTCATCAGTGGAGCGCCCACCTAGCACGGGCGGGACCTGGATTAGATCCTCAGCACCACATATAAAATAAAGGCATTGTGTTGTGTCCATCTACACCTAAAAAATAAATATTTAAAAAAATAAGGAACATCTGGGAGTAAAGGGCACACAGAACACAGCCCATTACTTGCCCCTTCCCTTTATGGACTTAGCTCCTACCTCCAAGCCACTAATCCTTTAAATGCAAGGGCTCCTTAGCCAGGGATTCAGAGAAGTAAAGGGCAACTATAAGGGAAGGAGAAAAAAGTCCCTGGCTCTTCCCCATTCTGTCTCTTACATAAGTGTGCCAGGTACAAGATGACTCTTATTATGTGCTAGGATCAGGAGCACAGGGGTCCCCTACTAGGCAGAGACCCTGCACTTAAGCTTTCTCTGACAATGGGCTCAAGTGTGGGTCCGGCTGCAGGGGGTTAAGGGCTCACTTATATTTCAGGATGTTCAGGAATGAGTCAGGGCTGTGGGTGTGCATTGAGTCTTCTGAGATGTCAGTTTCTAGAGATTCATTTTCAGGTGTATGTCAGGGCCTCGCATTGCACATGTAAGGTTAGTGTTTCTATGGGTTGATGATGGTTGATTTATGTCAGGATTCTGGGAGTGAGTAGATTTCCGTTGTGTTTCAAGACTTAAGAAGCCATATTGGGGGCTGGGGATGTGGTTCAGTGGTAGAGTGTTTGCCTGGCATGCATTCAATTCCCAGCACTGTGAAAAAATAATAAAATAAATAAAGAAGCCATGTCAGGTTTGGTTTCATGTATATCTAGGTTCAAAGGCCAAGGTTTCCAGGTGCAGGGTCTCAGATGTGTCAGAGGTCCCAGGGTTAGAGAGGCTGCAGCTATGTGCTGGGGCTTTAGGTGCTGTAGGACTTTGGGGACATTTAGGGTGGAGTGGGGGCCAGGGATGAAGTGCTAGAGTTGCAGGTAAATTTAGAGCAAAACCTCAGGTAAGTGACAAGTCCCAGGGCAGCTGGGGATCGGGGTTCATGGTAGGCCTCAGGTGTCTTTCAGGTGAGGCCTGAGGTGAGTGACAAGCCTCGGGTTGGTAAGCACTGTAGCATGTGTCATTTTACCTGCCTTGATGTGTTCTAGTGACAGACTCTTCCCTATCTCTGCAGGAGAGAAGAACCTCAAGAAACAGGAAAAAAAGCTCATGACAGTGTCCCCAGAGTTTGTGGATGAGGCCCTGTGTGCATGTGAGGAGCACCTTAGCAACCTGGCTCACATGGACATCGACAAGGACCTGGAGGCTCCACTGTACCTCAGCCCTGCGGGCTGGACCCTCTTCCTCCAGCGCTACTATCAAGTGGTCCAGTGAGTACTCCTGCAGCCAGGGCTATGGGCTGAGGCAGGTAATTAGGAACAGACTCTCACAATCTAACACAGCCCTCACCTCCTCCTGAAGCCTCTCATTTTTGTTCATATTGCTACTCTTCGGCTCAGGAACCCTCAGGGATTCCCACTGCCTCCCTGATAGAGTCCAGACCACTCTTCCTGGCTCTTAGCACAATGTAGGCACTAAGATGATGGCCTGTGCTGTCAGGTAGACCTAAGTTCAAGTCCTGGCTTTGCAACTTCCAAGCTCTATGACTTTGGCAACATCACTAATCTATTTGAACTTTCCTTTTCTGGACTGGTGGTATAGTTAAGAGTGCTTGCCTAGAATATGCAAGGCCCTGGGATCGATTTCCAGCACCATTAAAAAAAAGAAAGTTCTAGTTTGGGGAGCCAGATGATAACCAAGTAAATGAATGGGTCAGGTGGGGGTGAGTGATGGGAAGAGAAAGGAAGGGGAGCTATGATACAGATGTGCTTGAGTGAATTAATCTAGAAGGGAACCCACCTATCAAGCATTGTTAGGTCTAGATAAAGAGGACAGGAATGCCAAAAAGCACCTGCAGATTAACTAATCAGGCATTTGAATCCTGGTTCAGCCACCAAGTGGGTAGCCTTGGGCAAATACCTTAATTTTCCAAGCTTTAGTTTACTTTCCTCTAAAATGGGACAGGTGATACCTCCCTGAAAGGGCTGCTAGAGGATTAGAGATAATACATGGAAAGCCCTTGGTGTGTTGCCCCATCATTTGGAGCTGGAATGATTCAGTTTTAATAGGAAGGGAGTGGGCAGAAAATGGAATATTGGAGTGGATTGTGAACTGTGAAGTAAATGGGATTTACTCAGTCATTCCCATTGCTATGGTCTGGGCAAGAGGGCTCGTGGGGTGGCTTGAGGTTGAAGATGGAGGTTCGAGAGAGATCCATGTGGATCTCTAGGGGGAAGGCATGACCAAGGTGGTTGAACCTTGGCCTAGGGGGAAGGAGGAGGATATGTCTCCCCTTGTCCTGCCCTCCTGCCTGCCCCCAGGCCTTGCCCTGCCTAAGTCCCACCATCTCCCCACAGTGAGGGGGCAGAACTCAAGCATTTGGATGCACAGGTCCAGCGCTGTGAGGATCTCCTGCAGCAGCTGCGGGCTGTGATGCCCCAGATTGATATGGAAGGGGACCGCAACATCTGGATCGTGAAGCCAGGAGCCAAGTCCCGTGGACGAGGTGGGGGATCAGCCTTTGCTTTTTGCAACAATACCCTGTGACCTTGTCCCCCGTTAGAGGCCAGGGAGGTTAATAGTGCACTCTGCCAAACTGGACTGAAAGCCCAGCTCTGTCAGTAATATTCTTTGTGACCTAGAGCAAGTCACATCACCTATCTGAACCTCAGTTTCCTCCTTTGTGAAGTGAAGATTGATAAAGCCTTCTACAAGGTGAGATTAAATGCAGAGTACATCTTAAGTTGTAGGTCAGCACAGTCACCCCCATATGAGAGCTGCTGGGATGATAGTCCCAACTGTTCCTCTCCTGCCCCTGAGTTTGGATCAGTGCTTTAGGTAAGTTTGGTGACACTCACAAGCACTTAGTTGCTTATTATCTAAAGGGTCTCAGATTTCACCAGCACATCCCTATAGTCCTAAGGCCAGGACCCCTAGTTCAAGGTTAGCTTTCCCCTACTTATAAGACTTTAGGCGGGGTTAATTAACCTTTTCTGTGCCTCATCATCATCACTGGTAAAATGGAGCCAATACTTCCTGAGAAGATTAAATGAGTATAATGTTTATAAAGTATTTAGAAGCCATGCATGGTGGCACATGCCTGTAATCCCAGCAACTGGGGAGGCAAAAATAAAATAAAAAATAAAAAAATCTAGGGATGTATCTTGGTGGTTAAATGCCCTTGGGTTTAATCCCCAGGACCAAAAAAATGTACTTAGGTCCTGGATCTGTGCATAGTAACTGCCACATTGATGCTTCTATTATTAGCTGTTATTCTGACTCCTCAGCCAAGTGTGACTGGAATTTGAACAGGAAAGCCAGCAGTGCCTTAGCCCGGCCTTTAAAGACTGTGAAAGGATGCCCAAGAGCTAGAAAACAGATTTCAGTATCAGCTTCTTTCGAATACTGCTCTTGGATGGGTTTATTTATGCCAGGGTGAAGCCATTGCAGCTCCAAACATTGGAATGCTTCTCTTGAGGATGTCACATTAAAATCAGGAGGGCTGGAGATATAGCTTAATGGTAGAGTACTTGCCTAGCATGCTTGAGTCCCTGGCTTCAATCTCCAGTACCACCAAAAGAAACTGTTAAACAACTATCATTCACAATGGTACACACCTGTAATCCCAGCCACTGGGAGTCTGAAGCAGGAGGATTTCAAGTTCAAGGCCAATATAGGCAACTTGGCGCACGAGACACTGTCTCAAAATAAAAAGGACTGAGGATAAATCTCAGTGGTAGAGCACCCCTGGGATCAATCCCACAAAACAACAACAATGAAAAAAGCATTGGATTCTTTTCTTTTTATACCTTAGAAATACTTGATTTTTTTCCCAATCATGAAAATATGTGTTTATTGTTTTAAAAAAAGAAAACAAAACAATATAGGAAATTAGAAGCAAATGTCCCTTAATTTCACCAAAAGATAACCTATTAACTTTTTAATGCGATTCTATCTATACTTGTTTCTATGCATTTGGTGTGTGTATTATAAGTTTTTCTCCTTTTTTAAATTTTTGGTACCAGAGATTGAACCCAGTGGCGCTTAACTCTGAGCCAACTCCCCAGCCCTTTTTATTTTCTATTTCGAAACAGGGTCTCACAAAGTTGCTTAGGGCCTTGCTAAATTGATGAGGCTGGCGTTGGAATTTCGATTCTCCTACCTCATCTTCCTGAGTTATTGGGATTACACTGCACCTGGCAGTTATAATTTTAAAAAAACATATTTTTGTTGTAGATGAACACAATACCTTTGTATATTTTATTTTTATGTGGTGCTCAGGATCAAACCCAATGCCTCACACGTGCCAGGCAAGCACTCCACCACTGAGCTACAACCCCAGCTCAGCAGATGTAATCTTTTCTTATACAAGGCATTATGGTCTTGGGCCAGGCACAGTGTGCATGCTTATAATTCCAGGGTTGGGAGGCTGAGGCAGGAAGACTGTAAATTCAAAGCCAGCCTCAGCAACAGCGAGGTACTAAGCAACTCAGTGAGACGGTCTCCAAATAAAATTCAAAAAAGGGGGCATGAGGCACTCAGTAGTCGAATGCCTCTGAGTTCAATCCCTGATAACCACCCCACTCAGAAAAAATAAAAAGATATTATGTTCGTGGAAATCCTGATGATTGGTCTACCCACCACCCTTTTTTTAAAAAATATTTTTCTAGTTGTAGATGGTCACAGTACATTTATTTTGTTTATATATTTTTATGTGGTGCTGAGGATCAAACCCAGTTCCTCACACGTACGAGGCAAATGCTCTGCCACTGAGCCACAACCTCAGCCCTACCCACCACCTTTTTAAAATATTTTTTTAGTTGTCAATGGACTTTTATTTATTTATCTATTTTTTAATTTATATGTGGTGCTAAAATTTGAACCCAGTGCCTCACACATGCTAGGCAAGTGCTCCACCACTGAGCTACAACCCCAACCCCAATCTGGCCCTTTAGGAAAAGATCCAGACTGGGAACCAGGCACAAGTTTTTCTGTGCCATTGGCAGGCAATAGGCTACTTTGGGCAAAGGAATGAGATTATTTGTGATTTTGTGTCTGGTGATATGATTCTGATATTTACTAGCATTAAAGCTATGCCTTAAGCCAAACAAGCTGGTGCACATTCGAAATCCCAGTTCAGAGGCTGAGGCTGGAAGCTTGCCTGAGCCCAGGGGTTCCAGACCAGTCTAAGCAACATAGTGAGAACCCTGTCTAAAAAGAAAAACCTTGATGGGCAGAATCAAAGTCTCTGGGACACAGGTCCGCTGTGTTAGCAAAGCAATAAAACTTCTTTTTCCTTTTCCTCAAAAAAAAAAAAAAAAAAAAAAGAAAATTTTCTATCTAGAAGAAAGTCTAAAATAGATAATCATAATCAACAGTGTTGGGTAGGATTTGAACAAACACAATTTCATACATTCTTGCTGGGACTGAAAATTAGAAGAACATCTTTGGCAATATAAAATGAAGAATGTGGGGCTGGGATTGTGGTTCAGCGGTAGAGCACCCCCCTAGCACGGGCAGGACCCAGGTTCGATTCTCAGCACCACATAAAAATAAAGGCATTGTGTTATGTCCATCTACAAAAAAAAAAAAAAAAAAAAATATATATATATATATATATATATATATATATATATATATACTCTCTCTCTAAAAAAAAAAAATTAAGAATGTACACACCCTTTGAGCCAGCAAACCGATGGCTAGAAATTTATTAAACAGGTGATAGTAATATGTGTTAACATTTATTGAATGTTTACCTTTGCCAAGCCCTATCCCAGACCCTTATCCTGCTTTAATTTGTGTAATACTGTGTAACCAAGGCATGTTTATTCTCCCATAACCTGGAAGAAAATCCTTAAGGATTCCATAAATGTTTAGAAGCAGTAGTTGGCTGCCTCTGAAAAGGGAGATGTATTTTTAATATGCCATTTTTTTTACTAATTTTTGGGTTTGTTGGTTTATATTTTGTTAATTATTGGAGAAAAATAATATATGCACATACTTTTAAAGCCCAGTACAAAAAAATAAAAGCAGCAGCCCATTACATGGCAGGACACAGTGGCACATTCCTATAATTCCAGTGACTGAGACAGGAGAATCACAGAGTTGAGGACAGCCTCAGCATTTTAGTGGGACCCTGTCTCAAAAAGTTTGGGGAATGTAGCTCAGTGGTAGAGCACCTCTGGATTTAATCCATAGTACCTCAAAAATAACAACAAAAAAATCAATACTATTCAGAAATTTTCAATGCATATATTCCTTTTCAATCAACCCAAAATGACTTGTTACCAAAAAAATTAAAATCATTTTCAGTTTTCCCAAAGGGAACACGATACTAATTGACAAAAGACATCCTTACCCATGTGGCCTGACAGTTTTGTGGGGATGAGGGCCAGCCCAAGTTTGACCTCCTAGACCCTGATTACCCCTTTTCCTGCTAGGCATCATATGCATGGACCACCTGGAGGAGATGCTGAAGCTAGTGGACTGCAACCCCATGATGATGAAGGACGGCAAATGGGTGGTACAGAAGTATATTGAGCGCCCCCTGCTCATCTTTGGCACCAAGTTCGACCTGAGACAGTGGTTCCTGGTGACCGACTGGAACCCACTTACTGTGTGGTTTTACCGCGATAGCTACATTCGCTTTTCCACACAGCCCTTCTCCCTAAAGAACCTGGACAAGTGAGCCCCACCACTCACCTCCCATGAACTCCCAGACTAGTTGGGGAGCTGGCAAAACAAAACAACACAACAACAAAAAAAGGCAATGAAAATATGCAGTGGAATCTATGCAGCATTGCTGGGTTCCAAACACAAATTGAGCAGGCAGGCAGGACCTCTACCCAGCCATCTTTCCATCCAACAGATATTTACCAAGAGTGTACCCTGTGCCATTCATTATTCTAGGCACTTGGGATACAACAAAAACAAATGAAGAGCCCAGCTCTTAAGTGTTCATATTCTAGCAGGGAGAAACACACAAGCATTGATCTAATAGGATAAAGTGCAATATGTGTTTTAAAAAAAGAAAATATAGAACAGGATTAAGGGACGTCAGTGGAAATTCCAGAGGAGAAAGGCAAGATGTAGTATTAATTTGGGTGAGGTGAGAGGAAACCTTGCTGAGGCCTCAGTTCAAATTCCATCTCTGTAGCTTCCAAGCTGTGGGCCTTTTGTTCAAGTGAAAACCTATTTAAGGGCTGGAGATGTAGTAGAATGCTTGCCTAGCATTTGTAAGGCCCTGTGTTTGATCTCCAGCACCACACATACAACAATACTTGAACCTAGCTGGGCATGGTGGCACATGCCTGTAATCCTAGCAGTTCTGGAGGTTGAGACAGGAAGACTGTGAGTTTAAAAGCCAGCCTCAGCAACATAAGTGAGGCCCTAAGCAAGACCCTGTCTCTAAATAAAATACAAAAAAGGGCTGGGGATGTGGCTTAGTGGTTTGAGTGCCCCTGGGTTCAGTCCCTGGTACCAAAACAAAAAAACAAAAAAACTTAAACCTCACTTTCCGCATCTGAAGAATGGAGGAAGTAATATGAAAGTGAAAACTGTTGATTATCAAGTGCTTCATGTGTGATAGATGCTAAGCACTTTATGTACATAGTTATTTTTCATAAAAGCCCAATGCAGTAGGTACTATCATCCCTATTTTACAGGTTCAATGACTTGCCTAAGATCTTACAGCTAGTCAATGTGAAGATGGGCTTGACTTCATCTTGACAACTACAAGGCTTTATGGTTACCTACCTGCTTGTCTTCCAGGCATTGGGAGGACAAACAGACTAGGCACAAGCACTTAATACTGTGGCTATCATGATTAGCACCCTCAAAGCCTCCTGAGAGATAAAACTAATTCTCACCCTAGAAGAATATAGGGTCCAGGCCTTTGTCATTCTTGTCCTCCCCAGTAGGGCCCTATTTCAAGTCGAACTGACCAGCGTGGCCCAGGGCTGATGTCGAAATTTTCCTGCCCTCCCTCATTTTGGATAGGTGGGGCAGCAGGAGCTAAGCCCCAATTTTCTTTCTTTCCTTTTTTTTTTGGTAACTGGGATTGAACTCAGGCACTTGACCACTAAGCCATATCCCCAGCCCTATTTTGTAATTTATTTAAACACAGGGTCTCACTGAGTTGCTTAGTGCCTCGCCATTGCTGAGGCTGGCTTTGAACTCACAATTCTACTGCCTCAGCCTCCCAAGCCGCAGGGATTATAGGCATGTGCCACCGTGCCCGGCTTGAACCCCAGCTTTCTACTTTGTGTTTCAGCTCTGTGCACCTCTGCAACAACTCTATCCAGAAGCATCTGGAGAACTCCTGCCATCGCCATCCCATGCTACCCCCAGACAACATGTGGTCCAGCCAGAAGTTCCAGGCCCACCTGCAGGAGATAGGGGCACCAAATGCTTGGTCCACTGTCATCGTGCCTGGCATGAAGGCTGCTGTGATCCATGCGCTTCAGACCTCCCAAGACACAGTACAGTGTCGGAAGGCCAGCTTCGAGCTCTATGGTGCTGACTTTGTATTTGGTGAGGATTTCCAGCCCTGGTTAATTGAGATCAATGCCAGCCCCACCATGGCACCCTCCACAGCTGTCACCGCCCGGCTCTGTGCCGGTGTACAAGCAGACACCTTGCGTGTGGTCATTGACCGGCGGCTGGATCGTAACTGTGACACAGGAGCCTTTGAACTCATCTATAAGCAGGTGAGGTGGACGTGGAGGACTCCAGGGAGTGTGCCTTCTTTTCTAGGCTGCTCCACAATGAAGCACAGGGCTCTGCAGTCAGACCAGTTCAAAACCTGGGCTTGAGGCCTGGTTTTGCCAAGTTGTCCTAGTATATAGCCACGTCCCCTCCTCAGTTTCCTCATCTGTAAAATAGAGATATTACCATCTTTCTCATGAGCTGAGTAAATACAATGAGTTAATATGCCTGGATAATAATGCATGGACTCTGCGACATCCTTGGATTCAAATCCTAAGTCAGTAACTAAGCTGCATAACTTCAAACAAATTCCCAACCTCTAGGTGGTCTGTTTATTCATCTATAAAGAAAGAACAAAAATACTACCTAATTCATAAGATTATAAGAATTAAATAGTTAATATAAGTGAGGTACTTCAGAATAGTGCCTGGCATACAATAAATGCTGTACAAGTTTTAGCTATTGTTATAACCTAATAAGGTTGTTAGGAATTTCATGAAAAATAGCATCACTTGTGAAGTGCCTGGAATATATATAGTAAGAGTTGATTACAGGCAGCTGCTATTATTTTTATTATCTTTTGGAGGTATTGAGGACTGAACCCAGGATCCCTTTACTACTGAGCTACTTCCCAGCTCCTTTTTTTAATATTTATTTTTTAGGTGTAGTTGGACACAATACCTTTATTTTATTTATTTATTTTTATGTGGTGCTGAGGATTGAACACAGGGCCTTGCATGTGATAGACAAGCGCTCTACCACTGAGCTACAACCCCAGCCCAGCTATTTATTTTATAGGATAAGATAGGGTTCTTAAAAATCAGGACTGGAATTGGGTGTGGTGGCACACACTGTAATCTCAGAGGCTTGGGAAGTTGACACAGGAGGATCGCGAATTCAAAGCCAGCCTCAGCAATAGTGAGGTGCTAAGCAACTCAGTGAGACCCTGTCTCTAAATAAAATACAAAACAGGACTGGGAATGTGGCTTAGTGCCTGAGTGCCCCTGAGTTCAATCCCTGGTACCCCCTCACACCCCAAAATAAAATCAGGGCTGGACAGCTCATGAGAATGAGACAGAAGGACTGTGAATTTAAAGCCAGCCTCAGCAGCTTAGTGAAACCCTAGGCACTCAGTGAGACCCTGCCTCTAAACAGAATATAGAATAATCAGTTAAGAAAGCTATTTTCAGTTTTTTTGAGCTTAGGAAGTTTTTTTTTTTTGTTGTTTTTTTTTTGGCAGTTAAGGACCTTCTGACCAGCATTCTGTTTCTGTCAAAGTTTGGTTATATACAGGAAAGGTGCCGATCCTATGCCGATCCATTCTCTCTGGGATTATAGGCATGTGCCACTGCACCTGGCTCCAAATGCCTTTTATTGCTGATTTGTTTTTTAGGCCACTGTGTAATCACACCCTGTACTGGCGGTTTTGTCTCTTTAATCTTTTTTAATCTAGGACAGCTCCACTACTTTTCCCCCCAATCATTTTGATCTTTTGAAGGGACCAAGCTGGTTGTTTTATAGAACTGTCCTACATCCTGGATTTATCAGATTGTTTCCTGGTGGTGTCGTTTACTTGGTCTTCTGTTATCTAGATGTCCTGTAAACTAGAAGTTGGGTCAAACAGCTTGAATGAGGTTCAGGTAAAACATTTTTAGCAAAAATACAGCAGAGGTGATGCTGGGTACCTCTTGTAATGTCACAAGGAACCTACTGTTAGAGTGTCTCATGATAGGTTAATGATGCTGAATTTGACCATGGGTTAAGGTAGTGGCTACCACGTCTCTCCATTGGAAGCTCTTCCTACCCTATTAATTATATTGTGTATTAGTCCATTTTCTGTTGCTAATAACAATACCATACACTGGAAAAATTATAAAGAAAAAAGGTTCGTTTGTGCTCACAGTTCTAGATGTGCAAGATCAAGAAGCCACATTTGTTTTTTTTGGCTTTCTTGCTGGCAGTGTCCCAAGGTGGTATAAGGCATCATATGTCAAGAGACAGAGAGGCACTGGAATGTAGCTCAGTGATACAGCACTTGCCTAAGCACATGCATAAGGTCCTTGGTTCCATTCCCAGCACCATACAGAGAGAGAGAGAGAGAGAGAGAGCGTGCCTGGCGCAGCAGCGTACACCTATAATCCCAGATAATCAGGAGAATCAAAAGTTTGTGTCCAACCTCAGCAACTTAGTGAGGTCCTAAAAAAAGAGAGACAGACATGCATACATGTCTGTGTGCCACCAGCGTTCAATCATTCAGGCTCTACCCTGATGACTTTATCTAATCCTAATCACCTCCCAAAAGCCCGATCTCTAAACATCATAGATTAAGTTTCCCCCTCTTAATAACTCACTATGGTGATTATATTTCAAGACATAAACCCTTGAGGGACACTCAAAATATCCAAACATAGCACTTTATAAGATGGTACTTTGGCTGTCTTCAACTTACCCATTTCCTGTCATCCTTTCTACTGGTTTTGATATCCAGTTTTGATTCTTACCTATTAGAGTTCCAATTTCTAGTTTTTTTTTTTATTGTTCACTCTACGATTGATTATTAAATGAGGTTTCTGCCAGGAGTGGAGGTGCATGCCAGTAATCCCAGAGGCTCAGGAGGCTGAGGCAGGAAGATTGTGAATTATTCAAAGCCAGCCTTAGCAATTTAGCAAGGCCCAAAGCAAGTTAACAAGACCTTGTCTCAAAATAAAACATTAAAAGGGCCAGGGATGTGGCTCAGTGGTAAAGTGCCCCTGGGTTCAATCCCTACTACCAAAAAAAAAAAAAAAAAGAGGTTTCTTCTGTAAAGATGACCTTTCTCCAATCACCTAGGGCTATTTGGTAGCTCAGGTTCTGCAATGGTTTTATTCATTTATTCATTTTTTTTTAAAGTAGGCAAAGATCCAACACCCACTTACAATTTTTTTTTTAAAGAGAGGGTGTGAGGAGAGAGAGAGAGAGAATTTTTTTTTTAAAGTCAATATATATTTTATTTATTTTTTTTTTAATTTTTTATTGTTGGCTGTTCAAAACATTACATAGTTCTTGATATATCATATTTCACAATTTGATTCAAGTGGGTTATGAGCTCCCATTTTTACCCCATATACAGATTGCAGAATCATATCAGTTACACATCCATTGATTTACATATTGCCATACTAGTGTCTGTTGTATTCTGCTGCCTTTCCTATCCTCTACTATCCCCCCTCCCCTCCCCTCCCCTCCCCTCTTCTCTCTCTGCTCCCTCTACTGACATTCGTTTGTCCCCCTTATATTATTTTTCCCCTTCCCCTCACTTCCTCTTGTATGTACTTTTGTATAACTCTGAGGGTCTCCTTCCATTTCCATGCATTTTCCCTTCTCTCTCCCTTTCCCTCCCACCTCTCATCCCTGTTTAATGTTAATCTTCTTCTCATGCTCTTCGACCCTACTCTGTTCTTAGTTACTCTCCTTATATCAAAGAAGACATTTGGCATTTGTTTTTTAGGGATTGGCTAGCTTCACTTAGCATAATCTGCTCTAATGCCATCCATTTCCCTGTAAATTCTATGATTTTGTCATTTTTTAATGCAGAGTAATACTCCATTGTGTATAAATGCCATGTTTTTTTTATCCATTCATCTATTGAAGGGCATCTAGGTTGGTTCCACAGTCTTGCTATTGTGAATTGTGCTGCTATGAACATCGATGTAGCAGTGTCCCTGTAGCATGCTCTTTTTAGGTCTTTAGAGAGAATTTTTTAATATTTATTTTTTTTAGTTTTTGGCGGACACAACATCTTTGTATGTGGTGCTGAGGATCGAACCCAGGGCTGCACGCATGCCAGGCGAGCGCGCTATTGCTTGAGCCACATCCCCAGCCCAAAATAAAGCTTTTCTCTTTTTTTTTTTTTTTAAGAGAGAGAGACAGAGAGAGAGAATTTTTTAATATTTATTTTTTAGTTTTCAGCAGACACAACATCTTTGTTTGTATGTGGTGCTGAGGATCGAACCCGGGCCACGCGCATGCCAGGCAAGCGCGCTACCACTTGAGCCACATCCCCAGCCCTCATTTATTCATGTATTTCAAAACCTAGGGTACTCTACCACTGAGCTACATCTCCAGCCTTCTGCTTTTTATTTTGAAACAGGTTGGCCTCAAACTCATGATCCTCCTGCCCCAGCCTCCCGAGTAGCTGGGACTATAGGTGCACATAACCATACCAGGTGTGCTCTGCCTTCTTTCTTTCTTTCTTTATTTTAGTTTTTTTTAGTTGTAGACAGACACAATACCTTTATTTTATTTATTTATTTTTATGTGGTGCTGAGGATCGAACTCAGTGCCTCACCTGTGCAAGGCAAATGCTTTACCAACTGAGCTACAACCCAGCCCCAATGCTTTGCCTTCTTTAAGGCTCTTAGTTTCTGCTCCCCTGTGACTTGAGCTCATATAAGGTTCCAGGCAGTCTCTAAGCCTGCTGTCTATGTGGGTATCATAAGTCAAATTCTCTCTGTAGAGACTCTGATTGTTGGTAGTGACTTGTAGAACACAGCCACACATATTCCATCATGGACTGGAAGCACAAGCAACCTGAGAGGGCAGTAGATGTGGAGGTGTGGTTGTGGGGACTTGACTAGAATTCCCCTCCTCTTCTGGGTTACTAGTCCCTGAGGCTCTGTGACTCCTTAATCACTCTAGGATTAAGGGGTCTCCCAGAGGACAGAGGTGGGCTTCCCATTTCTCAGCTCAGTTTTGATTCTTACCTATTTTATTAGAATTGCAAAAAATGCAAATTTCTAATTTTATTTTTCATTCTACATGACCAGGTGCTTCAGAGGAAAATTCTATCCATCTCTGCCCTGGGTCCTGCTGCAAGGATTCCAACACCACTGACAGGGCCTTGTCTCTTCTTCTTGCCCACAGCCTGCCGTGGAGGTGCCCCAATATGTGGGTATCCGGCTCCTGGTGGAGGGTTCCACCATCAAGAAGCCCACAGCACTGTGTCATCGGCGGATGGGGGTCCACCCATCACTCCCTCATCTGCTAACCCAGCAAGGCTCTGGGGAAGGCAAGGAGCTGGGGACCCCTACCCACAGGTCAGCTTCCAGGAAAGGTGCTGGGTCCAGGAGCCAGGGGCACATTGAGAAGCCAGACTCCACTGCTACCACCTCAGTCCCCGGGAAGGGGAAGAAAGGCAAGACCAAAAGTGCCACAGCCCTGCTCTGCCCCATCCCCCATAAGTGGGACCCCTCCCCCAACACCAAAATGGGCTACATTGTTACCATGACCTGTGTTAGTGGGAACAGGCAGTCTCATTCCTTGAAAAGACTGCCATTGAGTAAGAGGAAGACCTCAATCCCTGGGTAACAGCATTCCCTCAAACACCCCAGTGTCCCAAAGTGATTTCTTCTGTTCTCTAAGCCCCTCAACCACTTGGATTTGTCCTACCATTAGAACCACCAATAGATGGAAAGAACCACTACTCACAAAGTAATCTTTTAAAATATACAGCCAAGTAAGCATTGTCCTCTCCAGAGTCTCAGTCACCCTGCCTGGACTCAGTCCCAGGGTGCTCTGTCTCCAGAGTCCAGGCTTTTGCCACAGCAGTATTCTTCCTTTGCTTCCATGCAGAATGTCCTTTGGGGAAGAAACTAATCACTTAAATGTTCACTACCACTACCTAACCAGCTCCTTTAGTCTTCACAGCAACCTAGTGAGATAGGTGCTATCGTCCCCATTTTCCAGCCGAGGTAGCAGAAAGTTTAAGGAAGTTGCCTGAGGTTGCACAGCCCAGAAGGGGCAGAGCTGGGATGCAGACCCAGGTCTGTTGGACTCCAAACCCTGGATTCTTCCCACTGCCTCTGGAGGAGGAACCGGGAGGGCTCCACTGCCCTCACCCTGCCCCTGTCTTCCCTACCCTATGCACATACCCTGTGGGGCAGCAGGGCAGCTGGTCAGCCTCTCTAGGCCCTCACAGCTTCCCTTGCTCCCACAGCCCCTTACCACTTCCCCAGCCTCCACGCCAAGGCACGGCTTCCTTCTTCCTGTGTGCTCCAACCCCAGGGGCGCATCCTCATAGTGCAGCCCTGCAAACTGGTGGGCACTAAGGCCCTGTCGCCCACAGGCAAGGCCCTGATGACTATACCAACCGCCAAGGTTATGATTTCCCTTCCACCAGACTCTGACCTCAAGATGGCACCCAGCATCCCAAAGCCAAGAAAGGTGGGCCTGGATCTATGACTCATACCCTGGTGGACAGTGCTGAGCACTGGGGTCAGGGCTGGAGGGCACAGGCAGAGAGCAGCTCCCAGGCTGCCCAGAGGGTGTGGGTTTGTCCCTTTCTCAGCAAGGGACCATTATCAGGTAAAAGGGAAGGACTTGTCCCCCTCAAAACCCCTTCCTATACAGATTCCTGATCATCTCTCCCTTTCTCCCCCCCTTTCACACCGAGGCTGTTGCTCCCAAGCGCCTTCGAGGTCCCCAACCTGCCCGTGTCTTGTGGCCTCAGACCTTTGAAGTCGGAACTCTTCCCAGCACCCATAGGAAGGTCAAGGGCAAAGGCAAGTTGAAGGCCAGACTCTGCGACAAACCCAAGGCGGAGGCATACCCTATGAAGAGGCTGGGCCATCCTATATCCCTGCCCCTTACTGATACATTCCAGAAGCTGAGGGGTACGGAGGTTATGAGGCTAGGGAAATCTTGCTCTGTTCTTGTGGGGCACTGCCTCTGTCCTGGATCTAGCACCAAATAAAGAGGAGCAAACAAACTGTGGAATTGTGGTAGGCTTTGGCTCCACCACTATTGGGTGAAAAACAGATGGGGTGAAGTCTCTATCCAACAGTCCAGATCAAGAGCTAGCAGCAGCCATAATTCCCACTTAGTGACAGACATGGGACTTCCTGTTCAGATACTTCCTTGGTATGTCTGAGCCTTCACTTATATATATGAGGAAACTAAGTCTGAACAAGAAGATGTGGCTTGACCAAGATCACACGGCAGTGAAAAGTCAGGGACACATTGCCAGACTGTGGACCACTGGGAATCCCTAGCCCCAGAGGCTGAGCTGGGCTGGAAGAATGGCATCCAGTGGGCATAGAAACATTTACGATACAACACAGGGAAAAGGGTGGACCTTGCTGAAACCCCAGCCTTTCTCCAGAGGGTGTGGGTTTGTCCCTTTCTCAGCAAGGGACCAATATCAGGTAAAATGAAATATCCAACAAACCACACCTGTGTGTAAAAATCTGGTATTACCTAGTCTTAGTGGATTGAATGGTGGCCCCCTAAAAGATATGTCTGTCACCTGCATGTATGTCCTTAAACAGGTAAGGAGTTTTGTAATTGATGATCTTGAGATGAAAGCACCCCAGATTATCTGAGTGGTCTCTAAACCCAACAATAAACCTCTTTGTAAGAATCAGAAGAGATGATAAGAGATGTGGGAGCCAAAAAATTCTACTTCCATTTTCTTAGATCCTAACTGGATCTGAGAATTAAATTACATAAGTTATATTAACAAGAGAAAATCTGCCTATAAATTTAATGTAAGTTTGACTTGGCATGGGAGCCCTTATAAATGAAGACCCAAAGAGGCACAGTCAGTTACTTATGATTCTGGCTCAGATAAAGAATAGTTGTGAAGAAGCTACTAAATTATATAGGGACGATTAAAAGATGGGAGTTGGCCATGCTTGGGATGGAACCCAGAGCCTCACACATCCTACACAGGCACTCAACCCTTGAGCTACATCCTCAGCCCTGGAGTTACTTTAACAAGGTCTTTAGAGAATTCTCTTGGTTTTGACATCTTAGGTATAAGTAGGGATGCTGTATATTTCTAGCATAGGGAGAGTATCTTTCATATTGGAATGGAGTTTCATCTGCTTTTAAGAAGATGCACAAAGGTCAAAATGATGTTTTTCTCTTTTGCCTACTAGGGATGGAACCCAGGGCCTATTAGGCTATGTGAGCACCCGGCCATTGAGCTACACACCCAGCCCAGAAATGATCTCACACCTACTGCCTTTCAAGTTCCATACAGTCAATCTGCCAGGGTGGACTTTTTTTTCCCCTCCCCGTACTGGGGATCGAACCCAGAGAGAGTTAACCACTAAATGATATCCCCAGCCATTTTTACTTTTTATTTTGACAAGTGGCTGGGATTATAGGCCTGTACCACTGCACCTGGCCCAGGCTGGTATATTTTTTAACTCCTTCAATGACCATGTGAAACTGGGTATGGTGGTGCCTGCTCGTAACCCCAGCTACTTGGGAAGTTGAGGCAAGAGGATTACAAGTATAAGGCCTGCCTGGGCAACTGAGTGACACCCTGTCTCAGAATTTTAAAGAAAGGCTGGGGATATAGCTCAGTGGTAGAACATTTGCCTAGCATGTGTAAGGCCCTGGGTTCAATCTCCAGCACACACACACAAAAAAAGACAAATTAGTATGGGATACTGGAAACCACAGAAGAATATAGGAGTGGTTCTCCCCTAGAGCTCTTCATTTTGGATTTGCCGCCTTGGTTTTGGATTTCTGGTCTCCCAAAAGGAGAAAATCCACTTCTATTTTTTTTTTTTAAACTATTCAAGCTTGTGGTAATTTGTTAGGGCAGCTCTGGGCAGCTCTTGACACTAGTCAAGTTGAAGATACAAATGCTATGACCCAGAAATTCTTGCATCCCTGAACCAGGAAATGAGTGCAAGCAGGTTCACAGTAGCTTTGTGGTGACAACCAAAAGATGTAACTGTCCAATTAATGGTAGAATGGATAATTGTGGTCTGTTCAAATTCTGGAATTCAAACTTATATGCCATACAACACAACTGCAGGTCACAATGTAGAACAAGAGCAGGTTGCAAAAGAATACACACAGCCTGAGCTCTTTTTTGTTTGATTATTTTTGGTACCTGGGACTGAACCCCAGGGCGCTTAACCACTGAGCCACATCCCCAATCCTTTTTATTTTTCATTTTGAGAAAAGGTCTCACTGAGTTGCTTAGGGCCTCTCTAAGTTGCTGAGGCTGTTCTCAGACTTGTAATCCTCATGCCTCTGCCTCCAAAATCATTGGGATTACATGTATCTGTCACCATACTTGGCAGCATGAGCCCTTTTATGGAAGCATCAAAAATATAGGGTGTGGTTGGAGCACACCTGTCATCCAAGCAGCTCAGGAGGCCAAAGAGGGAGATCACAAGTTAGAGGCCAGCCTTGGCAACTTAATGAGACCCTCACAAACTTAGTGAGACACTGTTTGAAAATAAAAAAGGATTAGGGCTGGGCACAGTGGTGCACGCCTGTAATCCCAGGGGTTCAGGAGGCTGAAGCAGGAGGATTGCGAGTTCAAAGCCAGCCTCAGCAACTTGGCGAAGCACTTAGCAACTCAGCAAAAGACCCTGTCTAAATAAAATATAAAAAAGGGCTGGGATGAAGCTCAGTGGTTGAGCATCCCTGGGTTCAATCCTCAGTACCAAAAAAAAAAAAAAAAAAAAAAGGATTAGGGATATAGCTCACTGGTAAAGTACCCTTGGGATCAATCCCCAGTACCAAAGGTGGGGAAAAAAAGGCAAAATGAAGAGTATTGTTTAGAGATACTTAAGCATGCAGTATAACTTAGAAAGAAAAGCAAGGAACGAATCCTCACAAGTTGGGCAGTGGCTTCTAACCTAGACTGAACAGAACCCCTTAGGGATCTTTTTTTAAAAGACTGATGGCTCGGGGGTGTAGCTCAGTGGTAAGGAGGGGGTATGCTTAGCATGTGTGAGGAAGCCCTGGGTTTAATCCCTAGCACTGCAAAAATCAACAAGCATTGCAGTCAGGATCTCCACCAAGCCAATTAAGTTAGAACCTTTCAGCTGCAGAATCATGGGGAGTCCTAGGGATTTAAACTTCCTAGGAGGGGAGGAGGATTCTAACATGGGCTCAGGGTTGGGAATTGTTGCTTTGCAGAAAGGAGAGGGAATACATCTATGTGCTCCAAGTGGGGTTTATATGGGTATCATTTTATCATTAGTCTTTGATATTTTAGGCATTGTCAGCATGTTTGATATATTTCAAAAAGTTTTGTGTGGGGAGCGGCTAGGGATGGAATCCAGGGCCTCCTACATGCTAAGCATAAGCTCTACCACTGAGCTACACCCCAAGCCCTACTCTATGTCACTTCCTTTTTTTTTGGGGGGGGGTACTCAGAATTGAACCCAGGGACACTTTACCACTGAGCTACATATATTTCCAGCCTGTTTTATTTTTTATTTTGAAACAGAGTCCTGCTAAGTTTCCCAGGTCCAGAATTATGATCCTCCAACCTCAGTCTCCTGGGTCACTGGGATTACAGGCAAGCACCACTGAGCCCAGCTGTTTCACAATTTTTTATTTTATTATTTATTTATTTATTTGGTTCTGGGGATTGAACCCAGGGGTGCTTAACCAATGACTCATATTCCTAGCAATTTTAATTATATATTTTTTGAGACAGAGTCTCAGTCACTTAAATTGCTAAGACTGTTCTTTTTTAAAAAAAAGAGAGAGAATTTTTTTAATATTTATTTTTTAGTTTTCGGCGGACACAACATCTTTGTTTGTATGTGGTGCTGAAGATCAAACCCAGGCCGCACACATGCCAGGCGAGCGCGCTACCACTTGAGCCACATCCCCAGCCCTCTGAGACTGTTCTTGAACTTTCAATCCTCCTGCCTTAGCCTCCCAAGCCTCTAGGATTACACCACCAAACCTAGCCTCACAATTTTTTTTTAAAGTAAAAGGTCTAATATATCCACTTAGATGGAGATACCTGGAGTAGTCAGTTTCATAGAACGTAGAATGGTGGCTACCAGGGACTGGGAGTGGGGGAAATTATGAGTTAGTGTCCAGTTGGGTACGAAGTTTCACTTTTAGAAGATGAAGACCTTTCTGGAGGTCGACAGTGGTTTTGGTTATAGAACACATTAAGTACACAATTACCAGAGAGCTTGAGGCAGGAGCATAGTTTGAGCCCAGGAGTTTGAGGACAGCCTAGGCAACATAGCAAGACCTCATCTCAAAAGAGAGAGAAATGGTTAAGATGGTAAGTTATGGTGTATTTATTTTTTTAACCACAATTTAAAAAAATCTAACATCTCTTCCTAGTCAGGTTCACAACAGAAACTGCCAAATAAAAAGACCACATATTCAAATCAGCAGAAAGCATGGTCCATGGTAAATATTTACTTTCTCAGCAAATCTCCAAATCCAGATCATGAGGTGTAGGAGCTTCTATTATTTCAAGTCCAGACAGAAGTCACTTACCCAACACCACACAGCAAGCAAGAGCCCTAACCAGGTTTGCCTGACTACAGAGCCCAGGACCTTACATCACGGCCTTTACCATGTTGAACACTGACCTCATTCTCTTTGGGCCTGGCTGGCCACAGGCCCCTTCCCCTCAGTGCACTCTGCTCTCCAGCTGTGGGGTCAGGAACAGAGGCCTATTGTTGGCAGAGCCCCAGGTATTGCAGGGTCCTGGAGAAATAAGGGGGCAGGGGTGCCAGAAGCTCCATGGGGGTGTCCCTGGGCCCAGGGCCTGGGAGGAGAAGACGATGCAAGTGAAGGTGCA